TTAAAGTTCTCGCTTAGTCATCATGACTAATTGTTCTAGAAACTTCTTCGTTCTATTTTTAATAATTACGTAACGCAACGCACTCTAGAAAAATATGGGCGCTCTCCATAACACATTAGTTATCTAAACTATAGAGCATTGATATGAAATTAAACTTATCTTGTTCCTTAGATACTTCATATGAAAAAACACGGTCAGATTATGTTCGAGGTAATGTCTAATTCCCTAGCTTTAACTTAGTCGTTACACTTTTTACATTTGCAACTTTCAGTGATATACTCTTCAACAACGCTCCTTGCATCGGGTCGTCCAATCTTTTCAAGTTTAACCATGAGTTGTTCGATGGGAACATTCCTACAGCCCGTCAGAACAGCGTCCATTGGATTCTGAAGGGACTGAAAGTATATGATTTCGGCCCACGTGAAGCCCATTTCGCCGCAGAGATCACGAAAATCGCCTTTCCACGTCATACGTGGATTGAGCATAATCATGAGCTGACGGCACACTCTAAATGGTAAACTTCCAATGGCGCCTTTGGCTTTGCAACGCCGCAAACCTAGTTGTGAGATCAGATGATTGTAATTAGAATGGAACATATTTTCAGGATAGTCGTGAACAACGACTGATTTCTTCATGGTATAAACTTAACCTTTCATAAAGGAGAAAAATAATTAACTCTTCAGTCAGCTGCTACTCAGGGTATAGTAACGTTTAAGTCGACGTTGATTATTTCCTAGCTGGATGTTAACGAGTAAGAGAAAGAGTTGCAAAAGGTACCCTGACATGGTAGTTACTACAACCTTATGAACTTCGAAATAAACTACTTGGATGTTAAGGCCCAGTAAAGGTCAAGTAAGCAACCAATTTTGTGCTCTCGCCATTGCTTTTGGACCTATTTCTCTTAAGAAATTTGAAATCATTTCATGGCTTATTGAGGAGAATGCTTGACTCAAATTTTTTCGTCGTATAAGGACACTGGGAGATCATGGGCGAACCTGCGCCATCTTCTGTTTCTCCACTTGCTTGGCCATCTAACTCATTTGAAGTCTCCATGAGAGAATCGTCTGAGAGCCTGAAGTCTCTTAGAATCAGGTGAATCTCTATAACTAGAAACAAAAACCAGTGAGTGATGCACCTGATCAGTTACAATTTAGTATCTATGGGAAACTACATCTTAAGGTAGGTATTATAATGACTTAAACGGTTGTCGGTCTTGCGGAAAAACAACCAAGGGAAGAAAAAAACCTCAATTGATTGTCATCGTACCTTTCTTTTCATACTCTTCTTTTTCGCTGCCAGCCATTGTCTGTTTTCTCTTTAAATCTTCTTGCTTTGAAAATCTGTGCAGACGTGATCTGTAACTGTAGAGCTTTTCCGGCCTTAAATAACCGAATTAGGCCACGGTATGACTTCCCCCTTTTTTCAAACCTCACACTTGCATAGTGAAAAAAAAGGAAATAAAGTCAGTGAAACACACTGGGATAACAGTGGATAACAGTGTATAACTATTGGCAACAGTAAAATAACAGTGAGACAATTCTAAAATTATCACCACTAATCGCCGCAACCGCCGCTAATTTATCACCACTAATCGCCGCTTGGCATAGCAACTCCGCCCACGCCCCTTTAAATCGTGATGATGGCGGCTTACTGCCTGACCTCTGTTCACGCCTCGTCAGAAAAAACGGCAGCGAATTAGTGAGCATATAATTAAAAGAGCCTCTTTTTGCAACGATCAGCTCCCGGCCCCTGATGAAGGTACTACACAGGAAAGTCGAAATGTTGAGTGGAAGAATTGTCATTTCGGTTACATTTAGTAAATCTTTAGACCAGCTGAGTAGCATCAAACCATGTCCCTCCCGCTTCCTGTACATTTATTTACTTATTTATCTTTCGCGCTGCTATGTGAATTGACATATAAGCTCATTGCTATGGGCTGCGTGTTCATGTGTAACGGGAGATAAAAAACAAGTTGAGTTTGGAGTAACGTGAGCGGTGTTGTTGCGAATAAAGTTAGTTTCGTCTTGTAAATTGACTACCCGAGGGTAAAGAGCAGTGAGGAAGGAATATGGTCGGCCCTTAAGCCACTGATGGCCACTGCTTCTTGAAGTTCCTCGACTTGAGGTTGGATTTCTCGACTGATCGCAGAGAGTTTCTTCGAACACGCAGACGGCTGTTGCAGAAACAGCAGTGTTTTTAATCTTTTTAATTGACTACTTAAAGTTCCTTAATTAAAATTGGACTTCACGACTCACAATTGCAGAGCCTTCTTTTCAACACTCAGCGGCTTGTTACAGAAATAGCGGTGATTCCGGCAAACCCTCTCAATAAACAACTCGAAGTTCCTCGATTGGATGAGAGATTTCTCGACTGATCGCTGCGAAGAGTTCTGTCAAACAGTTACCAGCTTGTTGCAAAAGCGGTAGAGACTTTTTTATACTCTATCATACAGATGCATATTCGTCTGAGCCGTGTCAAACGAACCCCATCGAACAACTTCCAATGCAACTCTAATGCAAAAACAATTTCGAAGCCTCCCTATGCACCTACACGAATTTCTTTTTTTTTGCCTCACGGTACACCTGGATATTTGTCTGAGTCATGTCAATGGAACCCAATCGTCCGCTATACTTTCCTTAATTTTTTCAAAAATCGCCAATCAACTTCCCGGCGCGCGGGATCGGTCTCGAACTTAGTCACAGCGATTTTATCGGAAACGGCTAAGAGTAAACTCCCCGGCACTTGCACGGTCTCAAAATATGTCACAGCGATTTTTCTCGAAAATCACTAGGACTTAACTCCCTGGCACGGGAACGGTCTCAAACTTCAAAGCGAACTGCTAGGCGCGGGAACGGTCTCGGATTTAGTCCGAGCGCTTTTTATCTAAAATTGCTTAGACTACTTTGCCCAGTACAGGCACGGTCCTGTAGCGTACTCGATTTCTAAAGAACGCAGGAAGGACATCATTGAGTGAGTAAGTACATGCCAATGTCAGAGCACGCCCTTTGCGTCAAACCGAAACCGCGCCACCGCAATGGTTAGTCACAAAAAACATCAATACATTCAAGTCAAGATACTGAGAGAGAGTACCAGGGTCCAGCCACGATTTTCCGTCAAAGTCTCCACTCAACGATGTGCTTTGATTGCAATAAATTGTGAACAGCTTCGATGATTACGAAACCACTACATTTTGCAATTTTACATCTAGCGAAGCACTTCGTTACATAGCAACGGAATCTCTGTTATTCATTGAGGGACACAATAATGAAGGAAAAACTAATACAGAATACTTCAGCAGGCTACATTCATACCTTTCTTTCCATAATCCGCATGTGTACTTGGACCGCCATTATGGAGAAACGGTGAAAGAACGTTACACTATGGCGATGAAAGCCCACAATCTGGTTGCTTTTTGCGAAATCCGCCATCATGAGAGACCTTCACCTTTAAACCATCTTCACAAAAGTGATCTGTGGATCGTGATCATTGCCTTTATGAAGCCAGCTCTATTTGACGTGGCAGACACTGAGTGATTTTCCAACGTGCTTTACGTCGGAGAGAAGGAAAGAAAACCACTCCACTGCAATGGCCAATCCCAAAAAACATCAATGCCTCTTAAGGTAGAGCCAAATTTAGAACGGGTGATGTGATTCTCCGAGAAGTGCAAGAGTCACGATGACGTTTTCTTAAGAATGTTCCCATTGGAAAGCGTGCTTTGTACGGTTTGAATTGTCTTATCTCACTGTGACGTGGAAAGAAAAAAGAATTTCCTGAAGCCGGAACACCCCATTCTAATAACAAAGCACATGCAACTTAAGTAACAGTCAAGTTCAAGCTAAATTTATACGTGAACCGTCCAAGTTAAACACTTCCGTGATAGCTTAATCAATCATTTTCTAGCCTTCTGTACGATCAGTATAAGCGCTAACTATTACGCTTCTACTTTACGCACGTTATTTAGAATGTTAACGAAAGTCTTTGTTTCTTATACTTTCAAATACCGGATGCCTCAAAGTGATGAAACATTTCGCAGTATTCTTGCTTTTCACTCACGTGACCAACTCCTTGACAACGGTTACGGTCCGCCATCTTTGAGTACAGCTTTGCCTAACAACCAACTATTCAAACGCAACTCAAATTCGGAAAGAGCTTTTCAGTTGTTTTTGCGATGGTTCTCTGCTTAATGATCAATTGCCATAATCGCACTGGCCGAGATAAAGATATCAAGTTCTATGTTGTGCCATCGATTATCAAAAATCAAGGCGAAAAGGCCGAAGAATTGTCTATCGAACGGCGAACAAGATGGCTTTCCGCCATTAGCCGTGACAAACTTTCCGAGTCAGTCTTGCGACATGATCGCGTCTGTAGTCGCCACTTCGTATCAGGAAAGCCTGCAGCAAGTTGGGATAAATACAACGTTGATTGGGTGCCCACTTTGAATCTTGGACATTCAAAGAAACAGCGAGACGACGAGCGACAACTTCGAGATACTGAAAGAGCCGAAAGAGGGAAATTGCGACGTAAACGACAAGTTCAACTTTCATTCGCCTAGCTGATCTAAAATCTATGTCCTTAACTTTGGAATAGGGCACTTCTTTCACGTACGTTGGTAACAACCAGGTACATTTGACCTGAGTGCAGGCAAGTTTTCCGTGTATTCGTGTCCACGCTTCGATATAAAATAATACACTTGCGATATGTGAACACGATTCTCCTAAACCAGCAAGACAATTAAAGCAATGAGCGGACGCAATTACTCCTTCTTTATTGGCAATGATCCATACTTTGATAGGTGGATCGTTCATTCTTTGCGATCGACGAACCTTACCAATGACAACAAACATATCTGCGATAACTCTTCCTTGAACGCTCGTTACAAACCCTGAGACCACTTGATTGTATGCCTCCAAACTTTTAAAGTTCTTAAACTGGTTTAGTGTGTAGTAGCTTGTTTCTAAAACAAGGTAAGATACAAGATCCCCGGCTTCTATCGGGGGAAGACATTCTGGATCGAAGTGTGAAGTATCGAGCGTAGAGGGATCGATGCCTATTACTGCAATTTTTTCCACATAACGGCATCGCACGTGGTTATCTAGGCCTTTTACATATTCAGATAAGACGAGTGAGGATTTTTCTACTGTATTCTGTTCTTTTACAAGTGTGTTTTTACTAGAATCGCTCAAAAAACTGTCCGACATTAAGTCAAAATACTAAGCACGTGAGGCGAGTTCACATATGCAAATGAGCTACCTGTACTCAAAGATGGCGGACAGTAAATCGATGACGTCATATGAAAAGCAAGAATATCTATCTTATTAGAGTGTCTCAATGGGGAGGGGGAGGGGGTGGGGGTTGGTCACGTTGAAGGTTGACGATTAAACATAAGCCCTTTTGACGGTTGAAGGTTAAATTTTATGTCATTTGACGGTTGACGGTTAATTTTTTGGAATGTCGTTTATAAAACGAGCTAAACGCGCGAATTTGGCTCTAATTTTTCACAATGACGCGTTTGTAAAGAACTGTTAATTCATAGCACCTTTTATTGATAAATGACAAACGTTTTATGACACCAGAAGTGTTTCCACACCGGAAGCCAGTTCTGCCGCTAACCAGTTACTCGCGACTAGAAGTTAAAGGACTTACATAAATGTATTTTTGTGATATATCAAAACATATATTCATAAACAACAGAACTTGACCCAAATTAAGGCAATAGTTTAGTTCTTAAGAGCGAATGTTTGAATTGAACGAGTGAAAATCGAAAAATGTGGCACATGGTAAAAAATTGAAAACCTTCTTTTTTTGCTCAGAGACACCTTACACTAAACTCAGAAACGTGGTAAGGTTTTTTTCCAGACTTGCTTCTTTATTCTAGAAAATTCACGGAAACTGAAACGAGCATCGGGAGCTGTACAATAGCGGAAATCATGGTCTTGTATAGGAGGGATCGAGGTATGGCATAAGTCTAAAACGAAACCATTTCATTTAATTTTGAGCTCACAGAACGCTTTTAAAAATCAGCAATATTTCACAATCCAAATAGAGCATTTCGTAACAAATTTTTAATTATCATTTTCCTTATGCGCTATGACTCGGAATCGGTTCAGGCTAAGCTCATGATGAGTGGAAATAGTGCTGTTTTCGAGGATATAAAAATTAGTTTGAGGCTTTTCATATCCGCACGGGAAACTTAGGCTGAACTTTGTGAAAATCGCAACTTCGTCATTTACGTAAACGTCACGAAATAATCTAATTAGGCACCCCGTGGTTTTCCAAGCACATTTTAGAAGTTAGCACCGTGTT